CAGTTTATACTCTTTTTAATATATTTTTTTTATTTATAAAAAAGTCATTTAAAAAAATTAATACTCCATCTGTCCCAAAATAAATGTCACAGTTAGAAAAATTATTTATTTAAAATAAGTGTTGTTTTTAATTTTTAATGTAATTTTAATTTTGATATTTCAATTGTATTCTCTAATTAATATTCTTAATTTACTATTTCTCTCACTTTACATTAATGATAATTAGAATGCATCAATAGTCAATAAAGATAATTCAATCAAATCATTATACGAAGAAGATGAACAATCAAGATTGATCGTTGTGAATGAAAATTCAACAGCAGAGAGAGTTTAAATTAAAGAGAGAGTGTACATAAATGAGTTTCATTGATTTCATTGGTATTACAGAAGAACAAGTATTTATACAATGAGTGATAAGCCGACGCTACACAAGCTAACAGTTACAATTAGTTTTAACCCTTGGTTGTAATAAAACTTAACTGCATACACTCTATAGAAGATGCTAAGGTGTTTAACACCGTTAACTCTAGCCGATGATCAAGTATCTCCAATACATCCTCCCTCCTCAAACTTAAGGGTGATTTTCTGGACATATCACCTTGAGTTTGTGACGCAAGTCTTGAAACGCAGTTGTACCGAGTGGTTTGTTTAAAGTGTCAGTTATTTGAGTTGTAGCGGGAACATGTTAGATAAGCATTCTTTTTGTCATTATTCTTTCTCTAACAAAGTGGATATCCAACTCAATATGTTTGGTGTGAGCATGAAATATCGAATTGTGAGATAACAACGCAACACTTAAATTATCATATATAAGTATTGGAGTATGGTAGGCAACATTTAGTTTAAAAAGGAGTGATTCCAACCAAAGTGACCCTGGTGTTGTGTGAGTTAAAGCCCGATATTCTACTTCTGTACTGGACCGAGCAACTAGAGACTGCTTCTAGCATATGTAGGACATTAACAAGTATTAACTTATGGTTAGGAACAAGTTTGGAGTGAAATTGAGTGGAACCTACAAATTTTATATTAAGAGATTGGTCATTCCCTACATACACTTTATTGGACCCTACATATGACTTAATGTTTTGCAAGTGAAAATAATAAGGTGTTTAAGTGGTGGGAAACACCTGAGTTGACGGACCATGCTTGAGACTCTAGCACTGCAGGTAGAGAATACTCTTGAGTAGTAGCAAGAGGTCGAGTAGTGGAAGCCATCATAGCCAAAACCTGAGAATTTTGTGAACTATCTTGAGGTTTTTCTTGACTAATATTTGAGCTACCAACATGATTAGAATGAGTAGTGTTGGTTTTTTGAGACATAAAGTTCTCATCAGAGCGATGCCAACATGTTGTGACAGAGTGGCCAAATTTTTCACAAAGTTGACATGTAAGTCGATTACCAATTGGAGGCCTAGCTCTACCTTTACCACAACCCTAATTGTATTTGTTACCCCTTCCATTATTACTTAAAAATACTCCTTTAGAGCTATTTGCTTCATGATTTGTGTAAGCAATGTTAGCAACAATGGTTGTAGTAGCAAGTTCTTCACGAAACTTATCCAATTGTGCTTCTTGAACATAAAGAAGCGCTTCAACATCACAGAGTGTTGGTGACACAGGATTGCCATACATTTTCATCACAAATGGGTTGTATTCCCTAGGGAGTCCATCCAAGATTGCATCAATTTGATTTTGTTCAGTAATAGTATCTCCAACAGCCAACAGAGAATTTGTTATGGCTTTGATTCTAAGAAAAAAAATTGTTATGGAACCGTTACCCTTCTTTATGGATTTGAGTTCAACTCTCAGCTGACGAACCCTAACCTTCATTTAGGCATTGAAATATTAATGGATTTTGTCCCAAACTTCAAAGTTGTGTTTACATGCTAACATCCTAGGTAAGACAGATTCAAATATAATAGATTAAAGTCAGATGAACACAACTTGACTTTGAATGATCAAATCCTTATACTCATCGGAGAATGTACATGTGATGCAATCCTAAGTCGATTTGTATTTTTTTTGGGAATTTGAGGATTGGCAACAACTTTATGCATCTACTGCGTCAAGATCACTCCTTCCACTTGCTGATTCTAAAGCAAATAGTTGTTCTCTTGCAGCTTGATTGAGAGTGTTGGTCCAAACAAATTATTGGATTTCACATATGCAAAACCGGTAATGATTTCTTGAGATTGAGCTTGATCTTTAATCCCTGATTTTTAATTTTTTGAAGATTCCATTGATGAACTTTGAAGCACCAAAACTAAGAGAAACAACACGATACACACAGATGAAAAAGATGAAGAGAAGATTCAGAGATAATTGAAGCGGAAAAGATCGTTTCCTGCGAATGATACCACGTTAAAGATGAAGAAAATGAGCATTGAGGTTCATCATTATGAATGGAAATTCAGCAGGAGAGAGAGAGAGAGAGAGAGAGAGAGAGAGAGAGAGAGAGAGAGAGAGAGAGAGAGAGAGAGAGAGAGAGAGAGAGAGAGAGAGAGAGAGAGAGAAGAAATGAGTTTTATTGACTTCATTAGTATTATACAAGAGCAAGTATTTATACAATGAATGATAAGTTGTCACTACACAAACTCACTATTATACAAGAGCAAGTATTTATACAATGAATGATAAGTTGTCACTACACAAACTCACTACACAAGCTAAAAGTTACAATTAGTTTTAACCCCTAACTCTAATAGAACTTAACTACATACACTCTACACAAGATGCTAAGCGAAACACCGTTAACTCTAGCCAATGATCAAGTAACTCCAAAACTTTATCTTTCATTTATCATATTTTTTAATCTGAGTGAAAGTGTCAAGTATAACATTTATTTTAAGATGGAAGAAGTACTAAATATCAAAAAGGTATCCCTTAAAAAATACTTAGAATACAATGAAAGTACAAAAAGTGGAATGTTACGATAGATTTATCACATTTTTTAAATCCGAGTGAAAGTGTCAAATATAACATTTATTTTGAAAAGGAAAAAATACTAAATATAAAAATAAAAAAAATCTCTTAAATAATATTTAGAATAGAATGAAATAAAAAAAAAATGAAATGTTACGGTGCATCCTTCTTGACCTTAATAAATCTACACAAGTGCAAGTTTTTAAAATATCTATGGTGATTTGAGAAAAGGCATGAAATTTTCTATTATTAATATTATAACTATTAAAAGTTGAGTATTAAGAGGAAAAACTAAATAGCAACTCAAAATTTTAACATTAGTAAATTAATTTGGTTATCTAAAAAATGATGAGTAATGGTTAACATGAAATCACTCAAATATAAAATAAAATGGAAGTAAGTAAACATATTGAATAGCAAGAAAATGTAATTGTGCTAAATGAGAAATTTGTTATAAAAAAAACTATACTTTTACATCTAATCATTTGAAAATATATTTTTTGAACTAATTGGTGTAAAAAGTGTCATTATTAAAAATATTTTAAAGTAAAGTTAGGCCAAACTATGATGCCATATAAAGAAAAGTTTATTCTTGAAAGCATCAGAACCAACGACCCTGATTTTTTACTCAATTGTTTTCAACATCCCCCAAGTATTGAACTATGATTTCTTTTCTTCTCTCTTTCTATTCTCTCGATGCATGTGGCAAACAGAAGTGACTAGACTTAAGCTACAATTATAGATTCAACTCCTTTTCTACTCCCTATCTACATATGTCCTCCACAAAGTATATAAAAACTCAAGTCAACTTCAATCTCCATTTCATATAAAATATACAATCATCATTCATCAAGATTGAAACAAGATATTACTATTACAAAACAAAAGCATGGATATGAAAGAGAAAGAGAAAGAGAAAGAGAGTGGTATGTCACTATCAAATGAAGGTTGTAATTGTATAGTATAGCACATAGCACATGTAATGGGCCAGTTATTACACAAATCAATGGAAATTTTTGGTAGAGGTTCTGATTCTTCCTTATGCACTAAAACAAGTAATCTATGAAAGGTTATGATTAGCCCTATAGTATGTGGTAAGTACTTATAGAAGCATTATGTATATATCATGCACATACTTTTAGAAGCATTAAACATTATGAAGCAAAGAAAACAACTTTCCCAACTCAAGCATGTGGAGGTGACATCCGCAGATCATGGATGTCAATTCAAGTGCCTAATTTTATTGGGTTTTCAGAGAAGTAGTTGGTGTAAATGCTAGTTGCAGTTCTCCATTTATATGTATCAAAAGAGAAGGAAAAAAGGTCTAGAAAATGAGTATTAGCCATAACTATCTAGTCGTTTTTTGCTTTAATTTTGAGACTGAACTTAACTGAAGCGATGATTTCGGAGGTGTTGCCAATTGGCATTGCATGGAGACAAGACAAAAAAACAAAATGGGCCATTCTGCAGACAATTTTTAAAAACTTATATGGATTATCAAATATTATCATCCATCATAAAATTTAAACATGCATGGAAAACATTTAACTAGGTTTACAAACGGTCCGCGTTACGAGACAAACGATATCAATATCGGCCGATATCAATTCGTGTTACGAGACAAACAATATCAGTACCGGCCGATATCGATTGTGTTATTCATTGCTTTTATGTTATAGAACAAATTATAGTGAATTCATATATACTGCACCAGTTACAATTAGTGTTGCAAGATCTATACCGACCGAAATTGCAAAAATATTTAATCTGCTGACATCGACCGGTATTTAAAACCTTGCACTTAACAAGCAAGATAATCAGAATTAACATTTGGTATCACTACAAACACTTATCATTACCCCCTTCATTTTCATGCATAACTAGAATCATTAGTCTGATAAATCATAATAATTTTTTTAATTCTTAACATTTTTTTCCTTCTAGATACATAAGATCAAGTTAACAACAACCAGAATCACTAACCCTAAGTCTTAATTAAGAAACAAAAATTGAGAAATGGTAAACAAGAGACGGTTCCAACTATATATGATTCAAGTATACAGGTAGAGTTGCCCTCATCAATTAGGATGTTGGGGGTAGAAAAATTGTGTACCAGCCATGAAAGCATGTAGCGGAGCCGAGTAAAGCGAAGGATCAAACGAGATACCAGCGGTTGTCGTCGTGGCCGTGGTCGCAGTTGTTAAGAAATCAAGTTGTTGATGAGGTTGATGACCTCCACCGGAAGAACCTTCAATAGGTGCAGCAGTAGTAGTACTGGTGTAACAACTTGAAGAAGAAGAAGGACCTTGATCATAGAGAACTCCTTTGAAAACATGTCCTCCTATGTTCACAGCCGTTTGATACGCACACTGCTCATCTGGACCGTCCAATGAACTCACTCTCACACACCGAAACGTTACTGATGCAGAACTCACTTCAGCTGGAAACTGTCCCAACTCAAACCCTAAACAATCATCAACAAAATCATTCAATAAAAAAAACATTCATTCATGAAAAGTTACCTACATTCTGTGCCCTCTACTTTTCCAATTATTGTTAAAGAAAAAAATAAAATAAAAAGAAGCATTATCTAAATCAATAATTTGAGTTCGTCATTTTTACTCAAAAACAGTGATGCAATATGATAAAGAAGATAGCTAGGGTCACAAAAAACAGTAACAGATATACAAAACCTACATGCACATCAATTGAAGCAAGGATTTAATTAAAAACTATATAATTATATATCCTAAAGTGATATCTTATCTTATGAAATGACATTACATAACAATTATTACCTATGGTAGGGAAAGTTGGTTGAAGACATGGAAGAGAACCTGCACCTGCACCTGCACCAGCACCATCTTGATTGTCTACATGTCGTTTATAGCTCTCTCCATGATCTCGACGACGAAACGGTTGATGCTGCTGCAACAAAGATAGATGTTGCTGTCGTTCACGGCGTTTAGAAGCGGGAACCCAAGTACTCTTCACATGCGTTTGACATTGAAACCCTCGACTCTTGCAACAAGTTCTACATCTTAGATGCGTACAGTCTTTCTTTGCTTGATTCCCACAGTCTTGACAATTTGTTCCTCCGTTACGTCTCATCATCGTGAATCTTCTTCCACACTCATCAAAGGGACAGGTTTTAGGAGCCACTCCAAACACACTGTAGCTGTTCAAGTCTTGTTGTGGTTGTGGCCATATCTGTAAGCCTTTGGGATAGATCTCTGGGTTAATATTGCTAGTATTATCTTGTTTTTGACCTAGAGAAAATAACCTAGACATTTGTTGCAGTATCATCCATAGTAGAACAACACTGTAGTAGCTTTTGCAGCTTTTGATGAGAAAACTAGTAGCAGAAGTTATGGCACGGAATGAGTTTGTCTGCAACGCCGTCAATGGTGACTGTTGCCATCAACTCTACTGTTTATGAGCCTGGTTTTATGTATGTAGTTACTGTAGAAAAAGTACTGTGCAGAATTTTCAGAGTGGTTTTTTCTTTTTTGCTATGGTGGTTTTGCACTCACAGAGAGTGAGAGAGTGGGATTGTGTTGTTAATTATCAAGATAGAGAAAGAGAGTGCGTGTGGGGGACATGAAAATCTATTCTCTACAGTTTACTTCAGAATTATGGGTTGACCATCTAACGGACAGTGGTGTTCCACGTGTTAGATAAGCTTTTGCTTATTCGTCCTTCTACCGGAAAACCCGCTTGTACTTTTCCTTGACCGTCTTTATAATAATTTCAAGTTTTTATTTCAAAATTTCTATCAACTAGTGTATCAAAATGTGGAAATGTAGCAACATGCGTCTACTATGTTGCTTCTTTCATTACATATACGTCCCCATCACAACTCTAATATTTTGTTTACCTTAATATGAAATTCAAATCGGACGGCTCTTGTAACTCTTAGCTAGGCCAAGGGTGGTTTTTTTAATCGAGATTTGTGTTGATGTGTAATTCAAATTTATATTTAAGTTGTATTTAAATTTTAATTTAAGTTTTATTTAGTTGTTCTTATGGTATAAATTTAAATTTCAGTTTGTAATCAATATATTTTGTAATCGTTTTTTAGTTGAGAAAGAACATTAGTTAGATTTTTCTCTCTTCCATCATCGTCATCTTTATCTTTTTCATTCCTGTGCATCAACAATTGGTATCTAGAGCTCTAATTCTGATTCAGAAACGAAAAACACGAGTGTACGTGAGGCGTGTGTGATTGATCATGTTTATTCAATTCACAATAAATTGAAGATCTGAATCGAAACAGAATCACATTTCTTGATTCTGAGGGATTGGAAAATACGAGTATTATTGAGATCTTAGTGAATTTGCACAAGAACGAAGATGAACCGCGAAAATGGTAGCTTGAGCACAAAGCTTCTAGTATTTTATGGAAAGAATTAGAATCGAATGATGATTTAGTTGCGTGTGTTGTTTGGCGTTCAAGATGTTCTTGATCTCGTCAATGACAGATGCAACGGATGCGCATAGAAATGCACAAAGAGAAATGAGGAAGAAGGATTATAAGGTGTTGTTCTATGTCTATCAGTGTGTGTATACAATTGTGTTTGAGAAGATCGATGATTCAACGACAGCGAAAGATGTGTGGAACACACTGGTATGCTTCTACGGTGGTGATGCATCAGTGAAGAAGGTGAAACTTCAGTCTCTACGTAAGAAGTATGAGAATCTCAACATGATGAACAATGAGAAGGTACCTTATTACATCTCCATAGTGATTTTGATCACAAATGAGATGAAATATTATGGAAAAACCCTCTCTGAGCAAGTAATCATTGAAAAGGTATTGAGATCACTTACTCCTTTGTTTGATTACATTGTTGTAGCAATTGAACACTCTAAGGACCTCAACACCATGAGAATTGAAGAGCTATAAAGTAGTCTAGAGGCACAACAGTTGCGCCTGATTGGGAGAAACTCTGAAAGAGAGGTAGAGTAGGCTCTGAAAGCGTCTTCTAGTAAGAAGAATTAGAAGCAGTCTTAGTCAGAGGCCAAGAAGAGACATGTTTGTGGTTATCAGAAGTCAGAAGCCTCCATCTCTGATGAGAAAAAACATTATAAGGGAAATGATAAGTTTGACGAGAAGAAGGTTCAATGTTACTATTGTAAGAAGTTTGGTCACTTTGTTGTCGGTTGTTGGCCAAACAAGGAAATAAAATCAGAAGAAGCAAACATAGCCATAGGATAGTCTGATCATGAACCTGTGCTATTGATGGCTTCTGAATCTGATGGTCGATATTTGGTAGATTGGTGGTATATGGACATTGGCTACTCAAATCACCTAATTGGAAATAAACAATGGCTGATTAATTTTGACTATAGAAACATGAAAAAGATCAGATGCGCTAATGATAAGTACCTTAATGATGAAGGAATAGGAAATGTCAAAGTCATAGTAAAGAATGGAAAAATTATTCTAATCAAGGATGTTTGGTATATTCCTAGCATGAAGAGAAATTTGATGAGTGTATGTCAGCTAATTGAGAAAGGTTTCTCAGTTATTATGAAGGACTATCTCTTAAAGTTATATAATTCTGATCAGAAGCTGATTATGCTATCTGAACATGGAAGAAAATGAACATTCAATGTGAATGTGGAAACAACTGAAACTAAATGCCTTTGTGCAGATGGTGATGAAGGTGACAGTGAGTTATGGTACAAGAGATTGAGGCATACGAACTTTATAAGCTTAGGGAATTTAAGTTCTAAGAAGTCGGTACATGACATTCCTAAGATTTTGAGGCCTGGGAAGTCATGTAAGATATGCATGAAAGTCAAGCAACCTAGATTTCCAATTATATCAAAAGTGGCTCCAAGAGCAAAACATGTTTTGGGAGTAGTACATTTCGATGTATGTGGACCATTTGGAGTACCTTTACTTGGAGGGAATAAGTCTTTTTTGTCATTTGTGGATAAGTTTATAAGAATGACATGGGTAGCACTCATCAAGTTTAAGCATGAGGTGTTTGCTGAGTTTCAGAAGTTCAATGTGAAGGCTAAAAAATAGAGTGATCGAAAGCTGAAAGTTCTCATAAATGAAGGTAGAGGTGAGTACAACTTATTAGAGTTCAGAAGGTTATGTGAAGAGAATGGAGTTGAACATGACGTGACTGCTTCATATACTCCGCACATAATGATCTTGCTAAAAGAAGAAACTAGACTTTTCTTGATTTGACAAGGAGCATGCTTAAGGAGAAAAAGCTCCCTCACACATAGTAGGGATAAGCTGTTGCCACTATAATATATGTGCTCAACAGGTATCCAACCAAGAAGCTGAAGGAAATTATTCTTTTTGAGAAGTGGACTGGAGATAAGAAAAGTGTGACTCATTTCAGAGTATTTGGTTCTATTTGTTACAAACATATTCTAAGTGCTACTAGAAAGAAGTTGGATGACAGAAGCAAAGTAATGTTACTGATTAGGTACTGTCGCGGTGAAATTTAGATACCAAGCTATTGATGAGCTTGAATCTAATTCATTTGTATCCGAACTTTGATTTGTCCAAAGGAAGGGAAAAAGATCAAAATACCCACAATGCAATGCAAATGCAAGCTAGAGAGTTTTAGGTTCGGGGGTTGGTTAAACTTAGGGAAGGTGCTAACATCCTAAGTTTCTGTAGTACTCTACAGGAACCTCTTGTTTTATGTTGTTTATTGCTAAGGGTTTATCTGCTTAAGGATGAAAGACCTAGGGGGTTTATTTCTAAGTATACTCGATAAGATATCGCATCTTATGCCTACATATCCTTACGGGAGTGGAATCAGAGTATCTGTAGTTCCCCTAAAGGGTTTGAGGAGTTCTTTGACTGTGGTCAAAGTTCCTACGGGATAAAGGTAGTTGATTGATTGATTTTAGGAGAAAAGATGGGTTATCATTTTAAGGGAGATTACTTGATTTAAACCACCACAACTTTGTAGGAAAATTGATTATGTTGTTATGGGGGTGAAAGTTTTATCTCGCTTAAGATGATTAACATCTTATTTTCTAATGTGTTTGGATGATGTTTGATGGTTGAATTGTTGTTTATTCTAAGTTGTAAATGAAAAGGTCCTTCCTATGGGGTAGGATCTAACTTAGAAGATCGACTTGAATGGGATCAAGGATCATGGGGAAATGATGCAAATGTAATGCATACGCACAATTGTTTAAGTTATGCGCAAGTTCTTCCTTTGGACGGAATGCAATGTGATAAAGTAAATGCGGTAAATGTAATTTGCGGGTAAAATAGAGGCAGATAAATAAAGCATACATAAACGCATGAAAGCGCTAAAGTGTGTGAAAGTGGAGTGTGAATAATGTGAATGGGCGAATACGGAAGCGCGCACGATTGATTAAGTTATTGATTTTGGTGAAATTGTACTAATTTATTTGATTAAAAGAAGTTGGATTTAAAGAAAATTATATTATTGGTGAGATTAATTTTAAGAAAAAGTTAGATTCATTTTAAGTGAGATTAATTTTAAGAGATATTATTTTAGATCTATTTTAGTAAAAGTTATTTCTTGATAATAAAATAATACTTAGATTTAAAAAAAAATAAATATCATAAATTGAGAAAGAAAGTTTAGGTGAATTTCTAATTATAAAAAAGGCTGTTATTGTTATTTATTTTGAAAGCATAAATTTAGTTAGTTATATAAAAGGTTTATTATTTACTTTTAAAATCAAATGAATATATTATTATTTATTTAGAAAAGACATTATCTAGTTTATAAGAGGGTGATTAGAAAAACTGATTAAAAGTGGATTAATTAAAACATTAGTTTAAATTATAAAGAAAAGGGTAATTTATTTAATCTTATGAAAGAGTTAATTAAGATTAAGGGTTAATTAAAAACTGATTAGGCGGTTAATAATTGGATTAAGAGCGATTGGGTTGTGTGTGACGCGGCTTATGAGGGTTTACTGTGAAGCGCGATTTGGAACGTACGATCTGATCTGAGGACAGATCGTGCGGTGTGTGTCGTGAGGTGTATAGTATGTGTGTGTAGATTCACGTACAGGATTATATTACATAAAAAACAAAATCCCGAAACCCTAAGACCCCCAAATTCTCCTCTTTTCCTCTCGACAGCTTTCTCTTTCTTGATTCTTCTCTATCTCTTCTCGACGGTTTCTTCTTCTTATCGGTTCACCGCCTTCTCCGATTTTCTTCTTCTCCCCTCAGCTCGATTTCCTTCATAAAACAATCAACAACAACAAAAATTATCAATCTTAGTTAAAACAAGGCAACTCACGTTTTAAATGGTTTCGCCGGTTTTGGCTGTGGATGAGTT